CATCATTTCGAGTTCCAACACAATTTCCGATTTCAGGACACAACTATTTTAGATAAGGAACCAAACTACTCTAAAAGACTTATCAGTGAAATGATTCAGATTCATTTACATGACACCATCAATTTAAGAACTGAGGTGAGGGGATTAAGTACTTTATATTGCAATATTTTAGATAAGTACAAATCTAAAATTAACAAAAAATAATAATTATATCTTAGCTGTGATAACATATATTATTTGCCTGTGATTTTCTAAGTGTTAATTTTAGATGTAAATTGTTTTAATATTTTATATGTTTTAATCTGTTTGTAATGTCGTTAGTCTAACTAGCAGTTTTTAACACTTTTAAAGATATTTTTTTTTTTTCATATAAGTACTGTATTTTTTATGTTCATTAACTAATGGAAAAATTTTGTGTTGGTAGAAGTGATAATGCTTTGTTTATGTTCAATTTTATTTATTTTTTTTGATATCTCATTGTCTTTTCGTTTTTTGTAATTTAAATTGGTGAACGTCTCGCAATTGTTGTGATGGTGATGTATGATGTAGCACTTATTGTGACGTCACACCGTTGCTGTGTGAATACAGCCTAATGGCTCTCCATAACCTAACTTTTCGTATAAACAAGGAATTTTACTAAAAAAATCGCTAATAAAAAAAAATCGCGGATCATTGCCAACGATTAATTATTAAATAATTACAACAAGCACCTAGTTCTGCACGATTGGGAGATGTGTAATAGCATTGTTACTTTGTGATGGTTCACATCCACACCAAAAATAAGCCAGGCTTTTTGACTTAATTTTCTAATGTAAGTGGTTAAGCTTTTCATTTATTTGCATGATATGATTAATAGGAGTGTTTTGTTACATTAGGGTTGAAAAAGGCGTAATACAGCACCGAAACGTCCCAAAGAATAATTAGTCTTTTCTTGCCTATCCCATAACCCACGAAACAGTAAACAATATATAATGGAGGGATACGAATATCAAACAACTTTAACACACCAGGGGTTTTTCGCAAACATCAAGGATACTTATGGACAAAGCACACTCTCACTAGTAAAGCAATGGGCAAACAACACAAGTAAATTGGCAAATTTAAAAAACCGACGCATCTTTTTGTTGAAATGCAGATCAAGAGGTTTAATACCAAAACATTTAAACGTACACATCAAATGCATGTACCCATTACAAATGGATAACCACCCATTCACAAAACAGGTGGATAAAATTGAAAGAAAATTCAAGAAATCAGTACTGAACCTTGAGATTGATATAACAATATGGAAACTGAAGAACATAGATAAAGAAATTGAAGAAACAAAAAACTTATTGAAGAATTTTATACCCCATGAAACTTTTCTTCATTGCTTAAAAGAAAATAATACAAGGTACAATGTAGAATTTAACAAAGTTAAGGTAACCAATTTAAAAAAACTAAAAAACCTTGAAAATGAGCAGAGTGAGGTTTGCATTTCAACACAGGATAAGTTTTTGTATAATTTTACGGACACAGAACTACCACAGGATGTAAGAACAATGTTAAGCCTTGGTCCTAAATTTGGCCTACCTATAAAAAATAGTGAAATACCTATTCCCACTATCATTAAAGATCTGGAATATTGCATATCACGACAAGTAACTACAGAACAAAATAAGGAGATCATACGAGCCCAAGCTACAAATATAATAACTAATCATTACTGTAGAAACAATGAATCACTAACTACACTACAAGCAAGCCTACAACACAAAGAAAAACTAACTCAACAGTTTATAAAAGAACACCCAAGCCTATGGATTATGAGATCTGACAAAGGTAATTCCACAGTAGTTATGGAAAAAGAAGAATACCATACTAAAGTTTCTGAAATGCTCCAGGATACAAGTGTCTACCAGCCAACTAAAAAAGATCCAACGAATAGATTTCAGACAAGAGCCAATGATATCCTTAAAACTCTAAAAAGCCAAGACCTGATCACTGCATATGAGGAAAAGTCAATGAAGACTACAAATGCTGTACCACCAAGATTATATTGCCTCAGGAAAACTCATAAACCAGGGTTACACCTTCGACCTGTTGTGAGCTGCTTAGGATCACCAGGGTATAATTTGGCAAAATTTTTACATAGTGTGCTGTCTCCCTTCACAACCACGTTCCATTTTAACATTAAAGATTCATTTGAATTTGTAGAACTGATACAGAGAAAAAGCATTCCAGACAGTTATGTGTTGGTTTCTCTGGATGTTGTGAGTTTGTTCACCAACATTCCTAAGCAACTAGTTAAAGACATAATCAACAAACAATATAAATATCTATCTAGTTATATTGAAATCTCTAAGAAAATGCTCCTAGATATTGTCGACTTCTGCTTTGATACGAGTTATTTCACTTTTGATCAAGATATTTATTTACAAAAAGATGGAACAGCTATGGGGAATCCAGCTAGTCCCATATTAGCTAATTTGGTTATGAACTATGTTGTTACTGAAGTAACACAAAAATTACCATTTTCTCTACCCTTTTTTTACATTTTTGTTGATGATTCGTGTCTTGCAGCACCAGCTGATAAACTAGATTTTCTACTAACGACTTTTAATAGTTTTCATAGATCTTTGCAATTTACAATGGAAGTAGAAACAGATGGCAAGTTGTGTTTCTTAGATACTGAGGTCCACAGAGAAACAGATGGATCTATTTCAACTAATTGGTACTCTAAACCAAGTAGTTCAGGGAGGATCCTGAATTTTCTTTCTAACCATCCCACATCCAATAAAGTTGGTATAATTAATGGACTTTTGTATCGAGCTACCAAACTGAGTAGCCAAAAATTTCATAATCAAAACATGAACAAAATAAAAACCTTACTAAGAAACAATAATTACCCCACCAAATTTATTAACATTTCTATCAACAAATTTAACAATAAAACACCATCCCTCCGAGATAATTCTAAAAAATACTACAAATTTCCTTATATCGAAGGCTTATCCCAACAAGTCAAACGTTGCTTCATAGACATGAATACAGAACTAGCATTTTACAATGTGAAAACCACAAAGAAGTTCTTTACTAGATTGAAAGACTCTACTCCCATGGATAAACAATCTAATCTTATATACCATATTCCCTGTGAATGTGGAAAAAGCTATGTTGGACAGACCAAGCAATATCTGGAGAAACGTATGAAACAACACAAGAATGACTGTAAGAATGACAAAAGATATGATGAGGCGAAAACAGCCCTCTCCAAACATCATTTCGAGTTCCAACACAATTTCCGATTTCAGGACACAACTATTTTAGATAAGGAACCAAACTACTCTAAAAGACTTATCAGTGAAATGATTCAGATTCATTTACATGACACCATCAATTTAAGAACTGATGTGAGGGGATTAAGTACTTTATATTGCAATATTTTAGATAAGTACAAATCTAAAATTAACAAAAAATAATAATTATATCTTAGCTGTGATAACATATATTATTTGCCTGTGATTTTCTAAGTGTTAATTTTAGATGTAAATTGTTTTAATATTTTATATGTTTTAATCTGTTTGTAATGTCGTTAGTCTAACTAGCAGTTTTTAACACTTAAAGATATTTTTTTTTTTTTTCATATAAGTACCTACTGTATTTTTTATGATCATTAACTAATGGAAAAATTTTGTGTTGGTAGAAGTGATAATGCTTTGTTTATGTTCAATTTTATTTATTTTTTTTGATATCTCATTGTCTTTTCGTTTTTTGTAATTTAAATTGGTGAACGTCTCGCAATTGTTGTGATGGTGATGTATGATGTAGCACTTATTGTGACGTCACACCGTTGCTGTGTGAATACAGCCTAATGGCTCTCCATAACCTAACTTTTCGTATAAACAAGGAATTTTACTAAAAAAATCGCTAATAAAAAAAAATCGCGGATCATTGCCAACGATTAATTATTAAATAATTACAACAAGCACCTAGTTCTGCACGATTGGGAGATGTGTAATAGCATTGTTACTTTGTGATGGTTCACATCCACACCAAAAATAAGCCAGGCTTTTTGACTTAATTTTCTAATGTAAGTGGTTAAGCTTTTCATTTATTTGCATGATATGATTAATAGGAGTGTTTTGTTACATTAGGGTTGAAAAAGGCGCAATACAGCACCGAAACGTCCCAAAGAATAATTAGTCTTTTCTTGCCTATCCCATAACCCACGAAACAGTAAACAACTTCTTTCAATATTTATATAATTTAGGATGTAAATAATTGCGAAACATTAAATAAAACTTACCAAATTAGATTCTGAGTCATTTTCTTCCAAATTGTGCCTTAGAAAACTATCAGCTACGGAGAACCATATAAGTTTTGGTTTATATACGTAATTAGCACCCGTTCCAGTTCCCATACACTTCTTTATTTTTGCCACTTCTTGATTATATGTACATCTAATGCTCCTAATTTTCTGCCTAAGTTCTTTAATTGTAGAAAGTCCTGATAAGGGCAGCAGAGTTTCTTCTGCATGATCCCTCTTCACTCTGTTTTTGAAATCTGCCGAGCTTTCCTTCCATAAACATGGAAACCTCTCATATTCTTCCAGAAAATGTATAACGTCAAATCCCTGCTTAATTTTATCAAAATAATTTCCGATATTTTGATTTTTCGCCATCGTGCCGCTATAAAAAATCACTACTTTCACGAAAGTATTCCCAACTATCTAGTCAAGCGAGATAGTGCTACAGCACTGTCGCGACAGCATGATAGCTACTATCGGGTTGTTTACATGGTGATAGTTTGTGCGATAGTTACTATCACGACAGCAACTATCGCAAAAACTATCACCGTGAAAACGACCCTTTTAGGAATAATATTTTATTAGGAACCTAGAACACTTGAATCACATATTTTTATATAGTCACAAATTTACCATAGCGCAATACTGAACGCAGAGAGGCAACCTATCCCATTTTTTTTTTTTTCAAATTTCGACTTATAACTTGGAATTCTGACTTATAACCTGGAATTCTGACCAAGTCAGAATTTTTAGTTGAAAGTCGGAATAAAAAAAAAATTGGGATTGGTGATCTCTCTGCGCTTCTGTACAAATTAAGTCTCAACTTATCCATTAACAACTAACAGCTGTCTGTAACATCCTCTTTTAAATTTGAAAGCACTTTCAAAATCTGTCAGTTTAAAAAAAAAAATATGCTCAATACAAATTTTCAGAAGTAACAGCTTCCAAAGTCGCTTTTAAAGTTAAAAGAACATGTTGCAACGACTGTAAAGATTTTATCACAATTTTTAATCACTGTCAGACTCACTTTGACTACGTTTTCTCTTTTTTTTTTGGCTTCAGAAAATCTTTCATCACTGTCAGAAATTCTTGCCTTTGGGAATTTTGTTGCTGCAGTAATTTGTTTTGTTCTGATAGGACACTCATTATTTGAGTGAATTGAGATTCTTGCTGTTGTCTCTGTTCATTTTGATTTACCGTAATTGTATTCAATATCTCTGTTTTTGTTGTGGTATGTCTTTTTTGTGTGGATTTTTCTGATGATTTTTCTTTATCATTATTAGCTAATACCCCATTTTTACTTGTGCTAGGTTGAGAACTAGGTTGTGACTTATTTGAATGTTTCTTCTGAGGCTGATGATCTCTCATACTTGTATTTAATTCTATTTCTGGGGAAACATTTTCATCATCAGAATCGCAAGTATAAATGACCTCAACAGGGTCAAGTGTGTCAGGGACATATTGCAAATTGACCTTATCTTTTTCTCCTAGTATCTGGTCCATAATAATATAGAATTCTGGGGGCTCCCTTTTTCCTTCTCCTGTGGTTTTGACATGTTGCTTAAATTTAATGTATTTAGTATAAAGATTGGAAAACTTTTGCCTGCAACTTCGAGCATCCACATCGAATCCTAATTCTAAAAGAGTATTTGCGATTTCCTTCCAAAGTTCTAACTTAACTGATGATTTATCATTAATTTTTTTCACAAATTTGTCTGATGCTCTCAGTTGCAGCAAATGCAGCATCTGATATGTTGCTTCTTTGTCATCTTGACTTGGCTTGCCTTTAGTGACCCAAACTTGCTTTTTATTGTGACTTACCGGAGCCGGAGCTACTTTATCTGAGGGTTATGAGGAGGGTTGATTATTGATTAAACTGCCATGATCTATTACATTTGAAGAAGCTGTGTATAATGGTTGTGTTGCTTTTGTCGAATCTGCAGATGATGGGCCTGGAATATTAGCAATTGTGCTGTCAGTAAATCTTGTAATGGTCAAGGTTGGTAAATCCTCGATGCTACAAAAGGGTATTCTTTGGCATTGAACAGCTCTGCAAACATAGTCCAATAAAAAGTCGTCATCTAGAACAAAAACAGTTTTAGCTTTAGGCAAACTGGCATGGATCACCAAAAAATTAATGCAGAGACCTAGATTGAAAATTAGCAGTGGCGGAATTTTAGCCATGATTGCATAATAAATCCGGTCTTCAAAGGGAAAATAAGTTGAGTCCTGGAACAATCCAAGCACTAAGCCATTTTTTATTAATACCATGTACGCTCAAAGCAAGAATTATTCAGTATTTTCAGGAATCGTGTAAGTATGATGCTTGATACCTATAAAAATCTATAGTTTTTCAATAAGTTACTTGATACTTTTGAAAAAATCAAAAATATTGCAGTTACAAATCAATATAGACAACATAGGTACCAGAACAGTAAGTATGTGTTTATGAAACTGCCCATGAATGCTTTTTGTGTATTATTATTGTTTATATGATAGTAGTTTGGGTATCATAATGATACCCAAACTACGTAGTCCTAAGTTGAAAATTTGAAAATTGTGACTCGAATTTTGAGAATAATTAGTCAATGACTAAATAAAGAATTTATGTAATACTTAAGTATATTTTCATTTATGCATTTTATTTCTTAGAATATAAATATCTTCGTAAGAACTAGGTTAAGTGAAACGACCTCTGAAAGAACCTGGATTACTTTTGTGCATTGTAGTGGGTAGCCTTGTAAAGTATAGGATTTTCTTGTGATAAATATTTCTATTGTATTCTATTAAATAAATAATCACTTCTCACTTACCAGTTTTTAACTGATTAACGATATTTTGATTGTCCTGTAGAGCCACAGGGATATTATTGATTAATATTGTAATGGCATCCATCATTAGGCACTAAACAGATTCATAGATAACTATTCCTAAATTATACAATCACAAAAAATCACAGGAATCATTAGAAAATAGGAAAAAACATGTTTATTATTTATTATTTATTTATGGAAAAAAAGACAGCCATTTGGCCCATTTGTTCCTTTCCGCGTGTTAGAAAAGGATGCACTGACATACTACAGCAAGTAACTATCCCTCATAGGATGGTTACATGTTTACACCCGAGTTTTATGTTGTGACGTCATTGATACGTCATAGTATGTCGGCCATGATCGCGAAAACGTATTATCCCAAGTAAATACAACATACTACTAGGTTAAAACTCTCGCTAAAATACGCCTTGGGCATTCCAGGTTAACGTCATAACCGATCCGCCATATTAGCTGGGGGGCACACAAAAGCCAAACATAACCTGATTCAATGTTAAACCAAGAATTTTCAATCTAATATTTTGTGAAGATGCCTTCGTTTTGCTGCGTTGTTGGGTGCTCCAGTAGAGCGGAAAGAGATAAAGAAAGGTTTTTCAGGATCCCAGCAGCATTAAGAGATCTAGGGAATCGTCTAAACGAGCTAAAAGAGGAACGACGAAATCTGTGGATTAAATGCCTCAAAAGGAGAGATTTAACTGAAACGTTTCTGAATAATGCTCGTATTTGTTCAAAACATTTTGTTAATGGTAAGTATTATGACTGTCTTGTTAAAATACAAAAACACTTCATCTCGGTACATCAAAAAATTTGTTTATGTTTCTACAAGTATATATGTAACTTTTAATACCTTTTCCAGCAGAATTTAAGGATAGAAACAATCCGGATTGGGTCCCCATTACAAATTTAGGATATACTACGATAATTGATAGAAGCCCAGAATGAACAAGCCAGTAAGCTAAGCTACATGCCAGATCTGTGCACCGATAAGAACAGTCAAAACGTTTGAGAAGTCATTCTACCACACTTCTTATGGGATTTTGGTTGAACGCGGAATTTAACCAAATTTTGGTATGTTGTATATTTCGACCTGCTGAGTAAAAGTTCTCATGGGTACAAACCAATCCTATGACTAGTTTCGGATATTCAAGGGGTTTTCTAATACTACCTTAGGCAACCTAAGTACCAATATAAAGTGTACATAAAGCAAAATAACTTGCATGTATTGCTTTAAAAGTTGTTTATTTCATCTTTCCTTAACTAAAAATGTTTAGTAGGTGTTCGTAACTCTTCCTTTATATACCAGGGGCGCTCAAAAACTATGGCTAATTTTAAGCTAAATGAGTTAATGACCAAAAGTGTGAAAGCTTGTGTACTTGTAGGTACTCAGGTACCTACGTTTTGTGATAAAAGTGATTCTATCTTAATGAATTTCAGTTCTCGCTACGCTTGTGCTAAAAACTTTTTGCCTCATGATCCCTTGTTCTAGGGTTTAAGTGTTTAGTTATTAGGTATACATACATTTGGTGATTTGTCTGAAAAATCTGAACAGCCATGGAAATAAAAGCAATGAAAATTGTTTTTTCATAATATGTCATTTCACTTGGTAACCATGGAAACCAAAACAATGACCCTGTTAATAAAGCGAATTGTCTTTTTTGTCACCTTTCTTGTGAAAATAGCAATTCGGGAAAGGTAAGGTGCTACGTGTGCAATGAAGGACTAGAGTAAGAGTAAATCGCACTGTTTTATTACTGAAAGATGCCGAAGTCCATAGATTGGCTGTAAAACGTCGAAACGAGTTAGAATTTGAGGATTAAAATCTTATTGTTAAGAAGTCAAGGTGGATTTTGACATTGAAAACTTTGAAACATAAACAATAACGCTTGGCCCTGATTGGTCGGAAAATGAGGTGTCCCTGCAGGTTGTAATCAGTTTTATAATGCATGAGGCGCAAATGGCATCTTGCGACCAATAAGCGGCGTTGTTTATGTTTTAAAGTTGACAGTGTCAAGTCAAAATCTATCTTGGGAGAAAATACAGTATATAGTTTGTCATACTTCTATTTGTGTTTGTTTTAAAAACACACAAAGGCCCACCAAACAAGTACTTTTCAAAATACCCTCGTACATTCACATATATACAGTGTGATTTTTTAAGTGTGCAACATATGGGGATTTTTTTTAGTAATAGCACAATTAAAATACAAACAAGGCCAAAAGTTGGTGCATGTCTGATAATCATATTAGGTGCACTTAGAATGGTTGCAAGTCAAACATCATACAGGGTAGCTCAAACAATATCAAAGTTGTACTGTAAAATACCCTTATTTTAGAAAATTCAGCAAAATGTTAAAGAGAAAAGTTGTTTGGAAATAAAAGTTATGCTTAAATACCAAAACATAGCCCCCTACGATTTTTTTTATTTTCTTTCGAAAAAAATCTATAATTTCTATATTTTTTTTATTTTTTATTTCAAAAAAATTCAACACAACTTTAAAATATCGCATTTTTTTTTTAACAAGTTAAAACATTACTAATGATAATAGCCATATTAAAAAACCTCTCCTTAAAGTGCAAAAGTTTTATTTTATTCAAGTAAATATTACTACAATTTTGATATTTTTTGAGCTACCCTGTATGCTGTTTGACTTGCAACCATTCTAAGTGCACCTACTATGATTATCAGACATGCACCAACTTTCGGCCTTATTTGTATTTTGATTGTGCTACTACTAGAAAAAAATCCCATATGTTGCACACTTAAGTAATGACACTGTATAGTGTAACCCTTTTTGTTAATGAATTAACAAGAGGCCCATAATATGCTCAGTTTGCTCAGCGAATAATTATTAGGGGTGGGTTAATAGTTCAATACGTACAGAATGGCTAGGGTGCCACTGAATTTGAAAAAAAAAATAAAAATTAATAAATAAATCCTATATGTTGCACACTTAAGTAATGACACTGTATAGGCACCTAACTAAAAACATGCACCTTTCTGTAAAAGGTCTAAACTTAATCAACATTTTTTAAAGCTACCTAGCACAAATAAACGCAAAAAGCATGAAAATTCAGTATTTTCAGGTTGCCTGAGGTAGTATTAGAAAAACCCCCGTATATCCGAAACTAGTCATAGGATCGGTTTGTACCCATGAGAACTTTTACCCAGTAGGTCGAAATATACAACATACCAAAATTTGGTTGATTTCCGCGTTCAACCAAAATCCCATAAGAAGTGTGCGGGGTCCTTTATTTTGCTAAAGTTTATTTGTAAGGTTATTAGTATCAAACTTTTTTATTTTTTAAACAATTTAGATTCTAAAGCATTATTTTTGTTAATAAATTGTTTGTTTACTATTGTTGAATTGAAATGTAAAGTGGCATGTCTGTAAATAAAGATTCATTCATTCATTCCATTCATTCCCAAAAACTAAAAACAACTTAAAATTTATTGAATAAATCAAAAAATGCAAAAATTCCAAAGCACAAACTCAAAAAACATTGTAAACAATGATCTATAGGCTTTGTTGGCCCCTCAGCTAATATGGCGGACCTGTCAAAAGTCACGTGACCTGGAATGCCTAATAGTTGTACGACGTACAAAGAGAAAAATAGGGGCGTTCAAAAAATAGAGTTAAATAGAGGCTATTCCATTTAGGGTCTTTATAGTCATTCCTTGAAAGCGTCCTCAAGGCTCCCTTACTGAAGGCTGCCTTAAAAGGAGTCCTTAAGCTTCTTCGTTTTATAGTCGCTCCCTTCACTGAGACTCCCTTAAGGAAAGATTACATATGGCAACTGTGTAATCAAATACTTTTTTGACAGAAAGGATAGGTTATACTACAGTGACTCTATAACCCACAGTGGCGACAATTGCTGTCTCATTTTTGATTGGTTCTAAAATCGCATATATTTATATTGAAAACACCGCCATCTTGTTCCCAGCCCCTTGTTACTTTCAAATATGAATATATGGGATTTAGGTGAACATTCATCATAAATCATGGAAATCAACGTATTTGATGGACCTAATACTGGTCATCAAATACGTCGATTTCAATTTTTTATGATAGATGTCCATTTAAATCCTATATATAAATATTTAAAAGTAACAAGAGGTTGGGAACAAGATGGCGGCAGGACCTCTATTGTCGCTACTGTATGTAAAGGTTTATTTAGCCACTGTAGGTTATACGACCTGTCAAGAACGGCGGCTGTCAAAAGTTAGCCAGGACAGGAGAATGTTGAAGACAAAGTGCGCAAAAATATGGTGTAAAATGCCTGCATTTTGTTGGGTAGTGAAATGTAGTAAGTAGGGTAGAACGCGACAACCTTAAATTTTATAAAATACCATCGGAACTGAATCGAGAACGAGAACATCCTGATAAAGTTTAACAAAACGAATTATCAAAAATCAGAAGATAACGCTGGGTTAAATGCAATCAAACGTGAAGATTTACCTGGCAGTAAATTCAAATATGCTGTAGTTTGTTCAAGATATATGTATACCTATTAGTACTTATTATTAAATATTAATAATTTAGAGCAAATATTATTATTAAATGTATATTATTGACGCGTGTTCGAATCAGGCGCGGATCCAGGGAGGGGCCATGGGGGCCATAGCCCCCCCTAGATAAGATTTTTTTTTTTTTTAAATCAACATTAAATCGACCAATTTTTCCGGGTTTACCAGGGCCCGCATATATAACAGAATTTCATTTCATGGTGTCATTTTATCACGAACCTCTAGCCGATTCTATCTGTATTTTGTATGTAAGTAGATATACTAAGCCGGTTCCCGACCGGAAGTGGCCCCATTCTCGTTCCTGGGCCCGCGCCCGTCATCAGAGAAGCCCCAAATTGAAGGGGCCTAACCCAGGTGAGCCTGTGCCCCATTCCAGCGCCCCATTTTTTCGGTGGGCCCCATTTTTCGTCAAGTGGAGGGGCCTAACCCAAGTGACGTCATCAAAGAGGCCACATGCTTGTACCCGCTGCTAGATCCGGGGCCCCATTTACATGAACTAGAACTCATAACCTGAAATTATGGGCCCCATTTCAGTGACAGGGCCCCATTTTTCGGTGAGCCCCAATTTTTCGGCAAGTGGAGAGGCCTAACCCAAGTGACGTCATCAAAGGGGCCATACGTGCTTGTCCCCGCTGTTAGACCCGCACAGAGGGCCCCCATTTACATGAACTCATAACCTAAAATTATGGGCCCCATTTCAGTGACGACGACAAGTTGACAGGTGCGACGTTGCCAAAACTAATACTTGAATTTGCCGCGACGTTGCCTATGAGGAAATTATCTAAATTTAGGGAAAATGCAATGGGGGGCCC